TTGTGGCAGTTATTTGACGAGCTACCTGGGTAATCATTTTTCACCATGTCTCAGCTTTGAAAGCCATATGAGTTCATGAGTCTGTTAACTGGTACTATAGTATGCCAGAATTGATCAAATGACTCAAGTATTCTGAATAGATTAACAGTTATTAGGAGTTAGTCAAATGTATTTATTTAATTAATTATTGAATTTGATAAAGTCTAAATGTAACAAGTGACATTTGGATGAGGTATGTTAAATATCAGCATTAGACTACATTGACATACATCACTATTTATTACAGCGCTACCAGGTCAGAAATAATGGGTTTTTTTACAAAATATTTTAACAGCTGACTTGACATGCCACAAGACTGTCCTATTTGTGAGTGAGTGGGTTCAGCAATATTCCAGCTATATGGCAGCTGTCCCATTAGAATAGTGAAACAACAGTACATGTATATTGGGGCTGCAACGAATACACTATGTGGCGAATATGATACGTATCATGAATATTGGGTAACGAATAAGAATAATTATTCACAAATACAATATTGTATTTGAGTGATTGATGTACAATATGGAACGCCCATGTTGACAGTTTTGATTTGTCACAGCAATAACCAGTCATCTCATGACATTCAAATTTGATATGTAATAGTTATAGTTGACAGTACTATGTGTGGCCTTGGCAAACTAACATGACTTGTGCTACTGCAAGGCTAGTAGTACATATTCCATTACTGCATATCTCACTTTCAAAAAGTACACAAGGCTTCAAGTAAAACATGCTCCCTTAAAAAACGTAAATATTCGTTAATATTCAGTTCTGGTGACCACGAATAACGAATTGAATTCATGAAGGGCTACGGTTCGATTCACCGAATATGCGAGTGAATCGTTACAGCCTTAATGTATATGATTTCAAATCTTGATTAAAACTGATGACTGTGCAATAATGATTTTGCAGACATATAGAGATTTTGTGATTAGACAACTTTATGAGACCCAGAAGTCTCCAAAACCTCCTCCAGGTAGTGTATATTTGTATATGTATGTATATGTGGATATAATCAAAGGCACAAGAGTATAGTGATCATATGATGTTAGTTATAAATGAAAATTGATAAGGAATATCATAGTATGAGTTATACAGGTGTTCTGATTGATCAGGTTTCTTGCTGAAGATACCAGAAACACTTGTCATGACAGGGGGGCGGTGGGGTAGCCTAGTGGTTAAAGCGTTGGCTCGTCACGCCGAAGACCCGGGTTCGATTCCCCACATGGGCACAATGTGTTAAGCCCATTTCTGGTGTCCCCCGCCGTAATATTGCTGGAATATTGCTAAAAGCGGCGTAAAACTAAACTCAGTCAGTCAGTCAGTATCATGACAGGCTATCTGTGATAAAATACATCAAATCTAGAACACAAATTTTCATTCGCTATTGCTTTTGTCAAATAGAGTATGAAATTAACTAAAGTTAGCAACATTTTTTGGAAAATTTGAATGTGAACAATATGAGTAAAAAAGATAAGATCATAAAAACATATCCCAACTGAATCCAGGTTTATTTTATATATTTCAAGGCAAAAGAAAGGAATTTTAGTTAGAGTTTTAAAAAGATCTCAGTATGTTCCGAAAGAACATGATCATAGATTCTTTTACCTTTGAGTATATTTCAAAGATGACTGGAGATTTGCTTGGCCCACTTATATAGCTTCAACCAGGTGATGGTAAGGTGGTTTTTTGCAGCTTACAAGGTTATAATGCCATTTATGTGTTATTCAAATTCTTGGGTAGAATTAAAATATTGACTGATTGTTTATGAGCCGTATATAATTTAACTGATGCATTTATCCGTGACATGAGCTTATGACATAATTATGCAAATTGGTTAATTGGAAGTGGGACTTTTTTCACAGTTTGTTTCAAAAGCTAAATATCAACAAAATCATACTAGAAATCTAATCTAATGATACAGAATCATTGTTGGTAACATTACTAGAGTTTCAGTTATTTTATTCTGCAAGTGTATGTTGTTTATTTTGGATTAAAAGGCAATGAAAATATTGCATCACATGTACATAACAGTTTGACAGGTTTCTGAGGATAATGATAAATAGGATTCATCACTCGTGCTTTTTAATATGGAAAATATGAAAACACCTGTGATGATCAGGGGTGGAAATAACTTTAAAATTGCTAGTGTACTCATGGTACAGTGGCACATGTAAAATCACTTGCCCTGATAATTTTTCCACTATACCGGCCGTTTTCTTCTTGATTTTTTAAATAAACAACATAATTAATATTGGAAAGTCAACTGGACACCGGTACAGTAGGATATACAAATTTGCTTGCCCGACAGAAAAACACTGGACTCGGGCGTCGGGCAATGGGTTATTTCCACCCCTGATGATTCCTCTATTTATAGGTCAACTTGTATTTGGTAAATCTGAGTTAAAAAACCTTATTGATGTATACTACCCTTCAAAAGTTTAGATTCACTTAAAGCACTCACTATATGTTATGTATATATGTGAGGTAACATCGACGATGAATTTCTCCACTAACTTGGGGAACCAACTACAAACTTTATGCAGATGAATTGCCTGAGGATCATGCATCACATTGCTGAAAAGCATGTGCAAATATCATGCATATGAACAGCTGCATTGTGGTGTAAAGTTTTGTTAAGAATTCACCAATTTTCAATGAGTTTCATCATTTATTGAACTCATGACAATAATCTTTTCGACGTTGCAAATTTGTTTTACAATACATCAGTTCATATGTAAACAGTACTTTTAAACAGTATGGGATATCTTGCAAAATCTAGTTCAGAACAGTTGACTGAAGTACCGTTTATTACCGTCTATAAGCCGAATTTTGAGGACCAGTCAATGGAAAACGAGGTGGTAATCAGTTCGTGATTGTTGAATGGGATAAAATAAGCAAGCCAGTTTGTTGCTACAATAAAAATGATATTTGTGAAACAAAATATATTTGCATTTTCTGTCAACTACATGTTTCAATGCATTGATCAAAGTTATTATTATTGGTAAGTGCCAGTTGTCTGTGGTCTGTGTTTGCTGCAGTTAGGTCCCCATCGCGGGGGATCGGCTTATGGACGAAACATACCTTTTGGACACTGATTTTAAGGGTCAAGTTTGGGGGTCGGCTTATCTATGGGGTCGGCTTATAGACCGTAATATACGGTAAGTGGCTACATTTGCACTAGTGAGTCTTTTGATGGGTAGAACATTATGCAGTGGGTGTCTGATGGGCACCAGCCTCCAATAAGCACCGGATATGAAGCAGCGTACAACAAATTCCATGTTTCAAATGAGATCTCATGTCAGGTTTTGTTTAGTTCTCCTTGGTGTTATTAACTGCTCGGAAATGAAGGAGCCCTATTTGGGACTATAGTTTAAATATTAAGCCAGGTCTCTGTTGACCACCAGGCATCTTTTATTCCCCTGCTTGGAAGTTTGTTCAAATTCAGTATTGTACATACACACCTTCTTCAAGCAATTGTAGTGGTTTGGCTGTTTTTATGTTCCTGTGGAAGTGTATGTTGTAATTTCACGGCAGAGATGATTTCTATAGCAGTTGTTTTTATTTCCTTGAAATGTTGTTGACACAATGAAAATCAATAACCACTCTGTCTCCAGTAGTCAATATACAGAACATGTCTCCGTGTCTGATATGAAGAGAGCAAAGCAATTATAAAGCATTAGCTATGTTTCTTTAGATTTGTCAAATATTGTATTGTTTATGTAAATCTTGAAAATATAACATGTTGGTTGAAAAATATGATATGCACTATATATTGCTTTAAAAAATTGTAGTGCTGTGCATTAATGGATTTCATAACTTTAGTGAGAGTTTTATAAATGTTGGATTTCTTGATGAAAATTATTTTCCATTTGTAGCAGAGTGAGCAGGTATGAAATGTTTATTCAATATATTTGTTACGTAGATGAATGAAGTCACCGTCATACAAGTTAAATTCTCAATGGTTACATGATTATTTTTATATATGTACACTTTCAATGATATTATGCAGGCATTTGATATGATTTAAATCACAAGTGGGACGGTGAGGTAGCCTTGTGGTTAAGTGTTTGCTTGCCACATAGAACTCCAAAGTTTGATTCCCAAACATAGGTACAGTGTGGAAAGCCCATAAGTGTCCAATGATGTCCCCTGATTCAATATTCCTAGAATATTGTTTACTCAGCATGAATAACGGCTCACTAGCACTTACACTAGGATTCATTGATTCAGAAGTGATTAAGACCGCCTCCGTGGTGTAGTGGTTAGAGCATCAGCCCGAGAGCGGAAGGTCGCGGGTTCGATCCCCGACCGCATCATACCAAAAGACGTTAAAATAGGGTACTTGTTGGTCCCTGCCTGGCGCTCGGCATTAATGGGTTCAACAAGGACTGATCGGCTCGGAGTCAGTATACTGTGTCTGAGTGGGGTATTCATGCTTCACTGCGGCATGGTATCTCAGTGAGCTAGCACTATAAAACCAGCTTAAGTCTGGGCTAGTACAAGCAGCCGCACATACACATAGACACGCATGCACGTCGTCATATGAGCGAAATATTCTCAAGCACGACGTTAAACCCAATTTCACCTCACCTCAGAAGTGATTAAAGGTACATGTTACTTTATGGAGTAATATCTGAAATGTCCTGCAATGAATATGTTAATTTTCTCTGTTAATATTTCTGTTAATAAGTGTAAACAGAACTGGACAATAATGAAATTTATGAACATTTTTCTATACAAAAACATGTTTTACCTGAAAATTTAGTAAAATAAAATTAGACCGGCATTTCAGCTTCTTATGATACAGTTTGCTTATGATACAGTTCTCCATCAGATGTGGACATGAGTACCTGGGGCTTCAGGTATTTCAATGTGTAGGGAGAGGGCCATGAATCCAAGGATATACCAACGAGCTGAACTATCACTTATTTATAACTTTATATTGTGTTGTTTTTCAGTCTCCTTCTCTCCAGTGCATTTGGATGGTAATATACATATATATGCATATAATTGTTTGATTTTTGCATATTTATATTCCCTATATATTTGAAGTGTGAAAGATATGTATTTTGCATAATTAGATAACCAAACCACAATTTTTCTCTATTATCCCAAAGGATGTTTTCACTCTTAACATTCTGTGTATAACAAATTGCACTATGAACCTTATGTGTTCAGCAAATTATAATTTGTAGAAATAGTTATTCTAATTTTAAATACATATTGTACTGGGTCACTACATATGGAGAGGGAATGTTGCACTACCTGGAAATTATAGCACCATTTAATTTTTATGTATCCCATATGTAATGTTATACTAACATTTTTAATGATGTAATAATAATATTTTATTAATCTACTTGTACTGGAAATGTTGCCATGTTGTTAAGGTGGTTAAAGCTTGGCATTAAGGAGGTAAAAATAGGACTGTTTGGCGTGGAGTCATTATAGTATGTTATTCATGTTAAACAGTAGTGTGGTAACTTATTGGCCTATCACTATGAACCCGGCCTTTGTGAGGATGCGTACATGTAGACACACACACATACATGCACATCGTTATATAAGTTCAGTGAGCTTGACCGTAATATGTAACCAATTAACCTCATCCTTTATTTCTTATATCTGTTTCTAGTCCCACAGACCCAAACCACAATTTCAGAAATATGCAAATCTTTTTTCCCCTTTCACTTACAGAAAAAGTCAGAGGAGGTCATTGGGGACAACAAAATACCCTTTGACTTGTCCTTAGGAAAAAATATTCTTTTCATTTTCCACAGATTTTCAAAAACCCCATTAATAAAACTAATAGTTTTTCAGTATATTTGTTGTCACATGTGTTTTGAAAACAATCTTTAAGCAGGCGCCTAACATTTCATTAGGAAACATATTGCTGACTCTACCAACTTAATGGCATTTGACAGACTACTGTGACAATTACTTGTTCATTTAGAGACAATGAAGTCACTTCATGCTCCCAGTGTTGGGGATCTTTAACCAGTTCAGATGTATTGATTCTCACATCAATCACGTTGCTATCAACAGCAGCAGCAGCAACAGCACTTTACTTCTCATTTCTCAGCCGATGTTGATCAGTTATGTCAAATAGAATGGAGACCGGTTGATCGTGTAGGAAAAAATGAATACATTTTTGAATGATTGATATATTACTGGAGTAAACATATACCACAGATCGAAATTATGTTTTATAAATTTAGTTTACTTTCTGTGTTGTGGTTGTTGATGTCAGGATGACTTTCTAGTCTACAAACAGTTTCGATCATGACTTGCCACATGATAAATTTACCACTGACATTAATTTCTTTTGCATGTTAAGCATTAACAGACACCTAGACAAACACATAGACACATATATTTAGCTCTGACATTCATTTCTATTGCATGTTAAGTACAATGAAGACACAGACAGACTGACAGACATACACACACACAGAAAGAGAGAGAGACAAACGCATTCACAAAATAGAGTGACACACACACAAATATGATGAAATATTTGGTCCATCTGATCACTACATTAGTATTTTTCTCTTCTGTTCCTTTGTCCATGTCATGCCAAAGACCCGGGTTCGAATCCCCACATGGGTACAATGTGTGAAGCCCATTTCTGGTGTCCCCCGACGTGATGTTGCTGGAATATTGCTAAAAGCGGCGTAAAACCTCAGTCAGTCAGTCAGCCTTTACCCATGAAAAAATAGATTGTCTCTGATAAAAGTGACTACCCAAGTACCTAAAAATGCCTTGAGACAGGAATTGCTCTTTTCTTTATATCAAGTTAAGGCACATGCTACATGCACACTATGTGATATTACCCTGTATTTATAAATTTTTCCTTATCCTGACTCATGCTCTTTTTGCTTGTCTTCTTCTTCTTGCGAACATAGTGGAACACTTGTATCTCCCTAATTGAAGCTCCCTTCAATTTAAAATCACTAATTAGTATTCACCACGAGTTACCTCCTTTCCACAAGCGCAGGAACGAGGGCGCCACCTCTACCCATGTGCCTCACTCTCTCCTTCTTCGCCCAGTGAGCTGGACGTGAGAGCGCCTGTGTCTCCCGACACACTATATCCTTTGAATTATATTTAGTTAGTTACCTCGTATAGACATCTATAGAGGTTTAGCTAGTATCCTTCAACGATTATATATTGATATTTAGTCGTTTTTCTACAGTTTATTCACGGGGCCGTGTTTGTTTCAGTGGATTACGTTGATGAAAATTCTGTACTATTGCAGATTACGTTTTTATGCTGCTGCTGATCCGCCTTTAATATGATGTACGCCAGGTTTATTATATTCACATTGCAGGAGTTGCGGTACTAATTTATCAATTCTACCTTTTATTAATATTTACTTTGCGTTTGGCACGCGCAGCAGATAGGTCGGCGTATGCAGAGTCTAGTATGACTGATACACGGAACCCCTCGCCAGTCTACTGCTGTTGGCCGACTCCCTCCCGTGTGGTGTTCAGCTAAGAGTGGTTGAGAGGTGTGGGGCGTATCCGCCATCTCCAAAGCATCCTGCTTCCCAGACATCCCATCGTCGCAGCAGAAGACTAGAGGGTTTTTCTACTACATCTCAACAAGCCGAGACCGTTCCCATCGAAGTTTTGGGCCTGTATGATGATCAGCGGTCATCATACGGATGTACATCAAAGATTGACCGATGTCGGCACAGATCAGCATGCAGCCTGATGTACCAGCGCGCCAGATATCGCGATGATGATCGTCCTGAGGGTCCCATCATTACCAACACTCAATGCAGAGGCGTCACACCCAGGGCAGCGTCGACCTCTGAGGGAAAATCAGCGAAGTCTACTAGGACTTTCTCAGCGAGATTGTTCCAGCCGATGACCTGGACTTCTCACGATGATCAGCTGATCATCATCCCGGCGTCGCACAAGAAGCGACCCGGGGACAGCTACAGCGACATCAGCAGAGATCACCATGCAGCCTGATGCCTCTACACTGATGTCGGACGATTTTCGGTGGACCCCTCCATTAACACCGCATAGATAAAGCACCGGCGACCTGCAAATTAAGCAGACCATCCCAGAAGACATGATCGCGACAAATTATGAACATCATGGAGGACCAATATCTGCGGTAGCAGGTCCGAAACCAGCGAAGGCTCCAGCGTGAGACAGCACCCCAGAGGCACCCCGTCAGCGTAGCAGCCAGGGCGATGTCACCTTCGCTGAAGGAAGTCACGGACCACCTTGACGAAGGACCTAGATGTACAGCCTTCGCGAAGGCCTTCGCTAAGGCGGAAAGGACCTAGATGTACAGGCGCGAAGGCGGAAAGAACCTAGATGTACAGCCTTGCCGGCGAAGGACTTCGCGAAGGCAGGATAGATCATCACCTTATGCGGTTTCATCCCTAGATGTGGACTCGGACCATCAGACATCCACGGAAGCCTTCGCGAAGGTCATATCGTCGTTCCCCGGACGGACGCAGAGGAAGCTTCAGCGAAGGCATCGCGGAAGGACACCTGAATCAGATCATCATCATCTAGAAGGACATCGAGGGACTATACAAGAGCTTAGCGAAACTATCAACGTTCCCCTCACAAGTCTCGAGAAGATCAACCCATAGACAAGTTGATCATCGATATCAAGTATAAGAACTACAATGTCATTATATTGGTTCTGTTGAATCCATGACCGAGGCGTATGTTAAGCTGGCCTAAATAGATCTAGAATGATCAATTAGACACTTATCACCAGACTTCGTAACCGACTTCTGAATATGATAAGATGATCCATGCTTGACCCTACTTAGGCAAGCTTAGCGATCCCACATCCTGTTAAACACAGAGGCTGTTCCGGCAAAAGCTCATATATATATTTATATATATATATATATACTAATCGGGCTTTGATTTCGACACCTTCGCGATGGTCGCGAAGGCTAAGTGGCTCCAAGTCTACTTCACCCAGAAGATCTAGAAGGGATACCGAGAACTTCAGCGAAGTCTCCGGCGTTCACCGAGGAAGTCTCCTCAAAGGTTTCCATATACTAGCCACTTTCGTCATATATAGCTACTCGTCAGTCCGTTCAAGGCGTCGCATAAGTTGATTATCAACTGTATGCCAGATGCCGTCTATAAGCCTACGCGAAGATAATTGCTCAGGCTATTTACAACACAGAGCGTCGCTGTATTATTAGTCAGCGACATTTCATAGATCTTCACAGAAATCAACTATTCGTATAAATTGCTAATATACAATCCCGGACGATGATACGATTATCTACATGCGTGACCATTACGCATATCTGCAGACAATTCAATATCGAAATTGAACAGCAGCCTTGTTACAGCGAGCATAACTCTTAATCGTCAAAGTTTCTGAGAAGAAATATGTACAACAAGTTCAACGTTAATTCTACAATTATGGCCGATACATTCATGTATACAGTCTACAAGCTCACAACTTGCAAGTTGTTTATACCCTTATTTATAAGGAAGTGAATTATATTCAAAACTGAAATTACTTTCCACGACAACCAGGAAAATAACCTACCCAGCATAAAATTACAGAGCCCGAGATATTTGCCGAGGTTTCAGCGGTTACCATTAACCCTCGAAACACGTGGTCACCGGATAACCGGGAAGCTACGGTGAAGACCGGCGTTTATGCTAATATCAACGACAAGAATTTATTCAAGGTGGGTTTTCCCGCTACACCCGGTGACATCACAGCTGGCGGGTATTATACAGAATCAAAATGCCTTGTTCTGATTGGACGGCGAGGACAACGACCTACACAGAGGTCGATCTCTATTCACAGTTCAAGACTTACGTCACAAGTGACAACTATATATCAGTGAACGAGCAAGCCTCATTACAGTCCAGTTAACCTGAACATTCATGATTAGACTGCCTTTCTTCAAGTTAGAGACCTCCCCTGTCAAGTTAAGGCGAGGGATCGGCAGTCAAGCGATTTTACATAAAGTTCAACG